AAAATAGAGTATTTATAACTAAGAAATATACCCCTCTTTTGCCAAAACATGTGCAAAGCACAATAGCAGAAATCAGAAGAACGACATATTGTGAATTCTAGAATTTCGTTATACCGATTAACACTCAATTATCTGACGTCAGTACGACCAGTAAGCTGGTCTCCACAGACATCGCGCTCGTTGAGCTATGTGGTGTAATCTTTCTCGTGGTGTGAGGCAGGCTACAGCTTTTAATTACCAAAATATTAATTGTGCATTGATTGATACTGTGGCTTCGCACCCTGCTCATCGTAAAGTTGCTTTTAACTCAAAAATAAATAAGGAGAGCACGGGGGATTCCTACAAACAATACATCAACCCTTTCCCGATTGATCGCTCTGTTGACTATTTCAAACACATGCTACCGTACCATTAATTTAAGCCGTGTTCTATTCGGGAGATTTCAAAACGAGACTTGACCTCAATTTGAACAGAACACTACTTCTTGTTAGAGTACCTAAGTCTAGTATGCGGGGTAACACGGTAACGTTTAATTGCGGAACGAGAACTACGACTGCTGTAGTAAAAACCTGGAGCCCCAAGTTGATTTACCAAGATCTGTTTCGACTAACTGGAGTGAATGCAGTTTTTTTCAGGAGTTAGCCTATAACGAACAAGATTATTTGGTTCGATGCAGTACATTGTAACTTTTGAACTTCGATCCACATAATACTTTATAAAATAAGAATTTTAATTAAAAATGAAATTGAGTGTTTCTCAGATTAAATATTATACGGAAGTCACTGAAACATGGAAATCATCTTTTCGCGACGTTATTGTATCTGGTGAGCTTACTAAAACTTGTTGCCCGACAACCGTATCAGCTTGATAACGAAATCGAATTGAAATCCGACCCTGTGAAATCCTACATAAATCTGGTGTTGCATGAACTAAGCAATCGTGCAAAACTGAGAGAAAAGGTTGTTCTTATTTGCTTTTAGATGCGAGTACAACCGCGAGGGTTCGTAGAAACGTCGTATTGGGGGGAAAATCTCGATGGTTTTAAAAGCTTGGCTACAAAAAGCCGCTAGTGAAATCAAGATAAAGCACAACATACTGGATCGATGTCTAAAAAAACAGAACTGGGTTTCTACATTTTTATTAGCGATAGAGTAGCCCCGTTTTACAGATAATGAGCTGAAGGCTTTAAGTTTTAATTGCAATGTCCGCTCGCGTCTCGGCACGGATTTCGCATATCACTTAGATAAACTTCCACGGAGCCATCGGCGGATTCTTTCGTAAGGACTCTAAACCAGAGCGTGAGATGGAGGATATCACCAAGCTTAAAATAAGGAGAATTCATTGTTGCGTTCACCTTTTGAATATGCATATATTGAAAGAGATGCACCAAGCACCCGAAGCCGGCTTATGGCAGGAAACTTCACACGATTGCGTCCCGTGCGCTGCTAGGGTGCGGTGTGCTAAAAGCTGAAGGCATTGCGTAAGTATGTCGATATGTACCACTGGTATTGCGAGACAGGCGCTGTAATGATCTGCAGCATACAATGACAACAACCGATTAGTCAGGCCCAGCACGACGCCACAGCCGGCTTGCATACCTACGGGGTTTGCGCAATGAGGTGCCTCCGCCGCACCACAGCCAACCACCTGCATATCCAGACCAGCGCACCATAGAGTGCCTCGAGGTAGAGCTCAGTACAGCAGAAAAGAGATAAGCAT